GGCCAACCAGTCAGCGGGTAAGTGAGGGGGTGGAGCTCATTATCGGACTCGAAACTCGTGCATACTTATGTAAATACCGAGTGCAGCGTTCGTGTTCGCTGACGCCGGGTTTGACGTGTGGATCGGGAATTCGCGCGGGACTCCGCCCTCGCAGAAACACATCGGCTACGGACCGGACGACATTCGCTTCTGGAACTTCACGTTAGTTCATTTCTACTTTTCCAAGGTCTGCTTAGGCTATTGTCTGACTTCAGTTTTCTTTGTTAGTCTGTTCGCGTGCCCTGAGCTTCTGAAAAAAGATTTTTAGGCTTAAACCTTCTCTGGGGAGGTCATTTGGGTCTCTTGTTACAAAAGCCATGTTCATTTCAACCGTATTTCTTCACTTTTGTTAGGCATCGATAGGTTTACGGTGGGAAATCAAAATTTCGTCCCGTGACTTGCGAGGATATCGGGGTGGCGCTCAGGAGGAGCACCGCGCTGCATCCCTTGACGCGTTGCGATATCGCGCGCGACTTCTATCAGAACCCATTTGCACAGTGAAAATTGGGCTTGGAAAGTGTTTCAACCCCTCGGCTCTTACCCGCAGGCTTCCATTAGCTCTAAAAGTCATTGATGGTGCACTGTTCTTTGTAAACCTAGGAAATATATCTGCACTTCGCATGCGGCAAAAAATCGACCAGACAGGGTTACGCGACCTACCTCTTGACCCCAGAATAGCCAGAATACCACACTCACTTGTGCGGAATCGCATTCACGTAGAGTCATGGTAGGTAGCTGACGATCCAACACCGTGAATGGATTAAACTGGAATAATGCCAAAGGTTTGGACTCGTTAATCCGTTAATTTCGTTCATAGTCGTTGTTCCGTTAAAACGTCTCAATACTTCGAATTACTAGGAAGTAAAAAAGAAGTCATGTATAGTTTTATACAGCAACCTTCTATCAGCTAATAAATAACAGATTCTTGCTGCTTTAGGGCGAAATGGGCAAAGCAAAGGATTGACAAAGGGAAATTCCGACACTAAATGATTTCTTTCAAAATTTTCCCAAGGAAAGATGAATATTCTCAAAATTGTTATAGCAATAATCAGGGTGGTGGCAGTTTACTTAAACTCGTAGTTCTAGCGAAGAGATGGCTATACGATAAATCGCAGTATTATTAGCTAACCAGGCCTTGAACGAGAAATTCTGCGAAGTCAAGGTGCTGCATAATGCTTATGCAAAACTACGAACCCATCAGAGGAACCGAACCTAGGTCTTCCCCATAAGTGCTACATCGCACGGACATTTGAACCACTGCGCCATGGATACTCGTCTCCGCTGCTTTGATTTTGTCACTACGAGAAAACCAAGAGAGATTGCGCAGCGGCAGACAATCCACTAGCCAAAAATTTTTTTTTGGATTTTTTCGTTTAACTTTACGCAAACGAAAGCGAATAAACAATTTTCTGTAGAAAAACGCATATTGCTGGAATTTTTCATCACTTGGATGCACTGCGAAGAAGGCGATGCTCCACTATGGTTGATCTGTGACCTATCGGCTATCCAATCGAATTCTGTCCCGCAAGGTGCTAGATTTTCTCCTGCAGGATGACTTGGAACAATTTTGGGGAACGGACTAGCTTCTGACTCGTGCGCTACGGCCAGGCTAATTACTTTTCCAGATTTTCAGCGAACTGGAAGTTAACGGTTTCCTTGATTTTCACTCATTCAAATAAATAAATAAATAGTAATTCGTTTGGTCGTTAATGCATTCCGTCCGTGCCGTTATCACGAAAAGCTTTAGCTGTCGATATATACTTGCTCTGCTTGTGCTTGCTTACAAGTATTATAGAAAACCCTGCATAGAAGCTAGAAGCTGTATATTACTAGTATTACTAGTTTGCACTAAAATTGGCCCAAGGAACTTCACAAAAAATATATTTTCATAAATCATTAGCGTATATGAACAAAAGCTAAACCATATCGCTTGTTCAGACCCCCATTTTGACGTTATTTTAGTTTGTTGTACCCCTAAATTGTACGGATCCACTCATAACAGTAGTCAAGCAACATTTTCATTGTTTCATTTTAATGCATGCATTTACTAATTTTCACTCTTTGATGTGGCTATTTTTGAGCTCTGCAAGCCTCAACTTTTCATTCCGACCCTGAGCATAAAAAGAACAAAGGG